CTCTGGGGCCTAAGCTCCTCGGAGGCCTTGGCGGCGGGTGTGTGTGTGCGGAGGGGGTGGGGGGAGTTGTCGGGGACCTGGGCGCCTCTGGAACAACACCAGATGTCACTTTTCCACCCACCTGCCTCTGGCGGGGGTGGGGGAGAGGGTGGGAGGAGCTGAGGAGCAGGAGATAGAGGCTGCCTGGCTGAGGTTCGGGGGAGCGGAGGTGGGTCTCTTAGGGGAGGCGGGACTACTCTTGGTCTGGGGATTCAGATTCACGATGGGAGTCTCTGTAGGATGTGTGGCCCGCTTTCTGGCGGGGACCTCCGCCCGCGTCCCAGCGTCTAGTTCTTGGCCCTCTGGGACGTGACTTGGTTTTTCCCTTACTTCCATCCTCTCAGCAGAGTGCCGGAAGCCCGGGAGCTGCTGAAAAAGGCTAGTGGTGAACGGCTGAGCCTTGGAGCAGGCGTGTCTGGGAAAGGAAAGGGGTGGTCACCTCGTCCCGCGGCCACCTGCTGCACTGACCGGGCCTGGCGCTCCATTCCTATCCACCAGGCTATGCTGGGGCTAAGGCCGGCCAGGCCCCTCCCGGAAGCGCCCTCCACTGGCCAGACCAGGGCCAGCGCCTGGCAGCGAGCCGCGACAATTCTCGCCTAGCTGTGGTGTGGAGTGGAGAGGAGCAATCTCGCAGCCCCTAAGTCTCCAATGAGTCACTGCGGTCTGCTTCGGCTGCTCCTACCATCGGTCTCTCAGAGCGCGCGCGCGAGTTGCTCCCGCGTCGGGGAAATAAAGCCAAGGCAGATACGGAAAAAAGGATAGATGCTTTACTGGTGGGGCGGTGGAGAGGGGGCTGGGCAGAAGCTAGGGAAGGAAGTCGGAGGGGCTGGCCTCTGGATACGGCAAAGAATCAGTAGGAGGCGGCGCCACCAACCGGGACACCTCGATTTGTTGTGGTCCGAGGGGCGCCGCCGGCTGCAGGTCCGGAGTCGGAGTCCTGGAAGACAGAAAGCTTCGACTAGGGGCGAAGGCGAGGCTTTGGGCCAAGCCTGCCCGCTTCTGCCTCCCCTCGCGGCCCTCCCGCGCTGTCGCGCGGCCGCTGGCCCGGGCGCCCCCACCTGGGAAAGCTGAGCGGAGGCAGGGCGATGACGCGGGGCCGCGAGGTGAGCACCACCTCCCCGCGGCTCGCCTCCACCAGGATGTTCTGGATAATGTTCTCCAGCAGCGCCTCCTGCAGGTTGGCGAAAGACGGGAGCCTGCGGGGGACGCGGGCGCGGGTGTCAGCGCCGCCACCTGCCACGCTCAGCGTTCTCCGTGCTGCACCGTGTGCCGCGTGCTCTACGTGGATTTTCATTTAACTCCTCACCCTCCCAACACTACGAGGCATCCTTGTTCCAATTCTACAGACACTCAGACTGGCTTAAAGGGCCCAAGTTGCCAAACGTCATGCTGCTGGTACAAGTGCTAGGATTCGAATCCAGGCAATAGCAGTCCCCATCTCAGGGCCAGGTTTGGGGAAAGGCGTCTAGCGATGAGAGGTTGCAGAAGGGACTGGGGCTCCGGAATCCCGACCCAGACAGAAAGTGGCCACAGAGCCGTCCCAGGGGAAGGTGGTGCAAGAAGAGGTGGTACTTCTCTCCTGGTTCTAGAAAACCATTTAAGAGACTATGAAGACTATACCCTCCTTCGAAGTGGTGTGATGGTGAATGTTAACAGCTGGGTCTTGGAGAAAAATATCAAGGCTCAGATCTCCATTCTGTAAATACTCCCACCCAGGCCTTACGCTACCAATGTAATGTCAGTGAACACTGACTTGGGAAGAGATGCACTCAGTAGAGGCCACCCCCCGTATACCATTGCCTCGCAGGATGCCTCCGCACACAGCCCGCCTCCAAACCCACACCTGGGTCTGGCTGCTCACCGGCTGATGGCCTCCTTTTCATTTCGCTCCTGCTCCTCCTTCATTATGACCTTCAGCTGCTGCTGCCACTGCCATTTCTGGGACTCCTGGGACACGGGCTGCAGCGCGGGCTCGATCCCTGTCCAGGTCAACTTCTCTTCCTTCTCCCCCATCACATCCTCTACTTCCAGTTCCTCCTTGCCCATCTCTTCTTCCTCTTTTATGTCTTCTTCCTCCTCCTCTTCCTCCTCCAGCTCCTCCTCTTCCTCTTCCCCCTCTTCCTTCTTCTCCAGCCTCCATTTGTCCTCCTCCAGCTCCTTGCGTCCTTCCCTGTCCTCCCAGATGTTGGAGGACGGAGACAGGTCTGGCACTACTTGCAGGCTGCTGTTCTGGGCCATGAGCCTGGCGGACTGCTCATTCCAGAACTGGCAAAAGTAAGGCACCGGCTCCACCAGGCTTTGGTCTATGGCCTCGTGGAAGGTCTTGTCTTCCAGCAGGCCCCTGGTGGCAGGAAGGGAGACAAGGTCCTTGCTAAGAGGCCTTGCAGCCCCCTGTGGGGCTCTGGTTTCAAGGTTCCCTAAGCGGGGTGGGCGGTTCTTGCCTACTGTGTCCACAAACAGGTGCTAGGTGGGGGAGGGGAGCTCTTGGTCCATTGCCCCTCCCATCCTTCTTTAGAGGAAGGCGTCTTAAGGCCCCATGGAGTCTTAAAAGGGAACCTTATATGGTGGAAGCAGAGCCAGGAGGTCAGAGTTACACAGATGAGGGGCAGGAACCTGGGGAGAATGTTAACTGGCTCCAGACCTCATCTACTAGCTGTGAACAGGGCGGAACTCAGGACCCAGCCTAGGATCCCTCTAGCCAACTCCATTAGAACTTGTACATTCCTGGAGGGCCTGTTGCCACTTGTGGAAGGATCTTATAAGGAAGTTCTATTCTTCAGGAAAGGAAGGGCTGGGACTTTAGGGGCTGTGGGTGGACCCAGAGTTGAATGAATGAGGGAATGAGGGCCCAGGTGGTCACCTGATGATTGTGTTGAGACAGTCAATCAGTAGCTGCTTCTTCTGCTTTGAGATAGGGGCCCATTTGTCAGGGGATTTTTTCTTAGAAGCCTTCAACTCCTCCTTGGCGTACTTCCTCTTTGGCAGCTCCCTGGGTGGGCCATGACATTGAGTGGCCTGGGCAAGCCACCATGCTGGGGTTGGGAGCATGAGCAGTAGTGGTGGCCGCATCGTCATAAAGACATAGATGAATTTCAGGTGGCCCCAGCTTTAACTCAAACATGGTGCTACTACATTTGGGGAATTAAGCTCGACCCTCAGAGTCAGCATAGGACCTAGAGAAGCTCTCTAAGGGGCTCTAGCTCTTTGTCCCTCTCCTGATAAGGGCTTAAGCAGTAATGGGGGCATCCTGGGCCCAGCAATGCCCCATAACCCCCACTGCATGGCACTTGCTCTAAGCCTCAGCAAAGGTTGGGTCTGGGCAGCCCCCATTCCAGAGTGGGAGAGGTGGTTGAGAGCAGAGGGAGACCCCTCCCTCCCTGAGAGTTCACCGGTGCAAGAAGTATCGGGGAAAGTCGGAGAAGAAGTTGGCCAGGAAGTTGTCAGTGGCGTGGGTCCTGGCAGTGAGGCCCAAGTAGAGCATGCCTGGCGAGGGCGGCTGGGGGCATGGCCAGGATGTCTCCTCCTTTGGGATCTTAAGATTCCAGCTGGTGGGCCGGCAGAGAGACTGCTGTTTCTTGATAGGGGGCAGCGTCTTTGGGACGGAAAGGGGGAGGCATGAATGGCAGGGGTTTGGGGACTGCGCTCCCATCACCAATGGGTCTCTAGCCCCCCAACCAGGCCTTTGGGGTCACATAGGGGTTTGACTCCACCCACTGGCACTTTCATCCTCCCCTTCTAGGAGGCTGGACCAGGGGTTGGAAGTATTTCTGAGAGTGAGCAAGGATCCTCTCAAATTATCCCAAGGAGATGGGCCTGGGGTTTATGGCCTTACCTTGTACCTCCTCATAGGTTCACAAGCTGTACAATATGCCCTTCTCTGTGGAAGCAAAAAGACCCCAGCTTAGAGTACAAGAGGCTTAGAGGGACTCCCCTCTGCTCACCCTTCCTGCTAACCCACCGGAGATCTAAGGCCAGTCCCAGGACCTGTTGCCCTCTTGGTCCTGCCCAACTCCTAACCACACCTTCCTTAGGGAAATGTGGCCTGCAAACAAGTAAAATATGGTCATCCAACTGAAGGAAAGAGGAGACGTCATCAAACACATGCAGGTTACCCCAAGGGAGCTTGTCCTTGTGCCCTGGAGATTTGTGGTTTGGTATGACTATGACAGGAAACAGCCTCCCTTATTAAGATTTAATTCAGAAATCCTTTCTTCCATGCCCTCAAGACATGATTTCCATCCACAGTTGGGCCAGAGCTTCAGAGGGGAGCAGTCACTCCCTGGGGGTTCAGTGTGGTAGACACAAGAGTGATCCAGGTACAAGAATGGCGGAAGCTAAGAGATTGTAGGAGGAACCAAGACAAATGTTTTGTCCCATATTTATCATTAGTCTCCCCCTACAAATGCTCATAGCCCATGTTTAATGAATGCTTACTGGGGGGCTGGGCACTTTACACGTATTAATTCATTTAATTCTCCAACAGAGCTATGAAGCAGATGTTTTACTCGCATTTAAAAATCTTTTTAAAACTTTTAACCTTGGGAAATTTCAAACGTATACAAAAGTTGAGAGAATGCTACAAAGAATCTTCCATTACCCACTACCCAGCTTCGACAATTAGCAACTCATGCCAGTCTTATCTCAGCTACACCCCACCTCTGGATTATCTTGAAGCCAACCCCAGCTATCACATTTTACAGTTGAAGACACAGAGAAGTTAAATAACTTGACCAAGATGACAGAGCCGGAAATCGCCAAAGCCAGGAATCAAAACTGGGCCACTTGTTCTCAGAGACTGCACCCCAAACCACCATGTGGAACTGTCCTCCATCAGAAGGTGAGCCCTATCTTGTTTCCCCCGGGTCTTCAGTACCCAGCACTAAGAAGGCGCTCGTTAAATACTCACTACATGAAGCCTTCTATATCCGGAGAGTCTCTTGCGGAGACGCCGTGCTTAGCATAAGGAAAGAAATCTAATCTCTTAGGTTTGCGCGTAGGACCCCCTCGGATGACTCCCTCTGTCCCCTCCGCTAAGGCCAGTCAGAAAGATCTGTGGTGTTCAAGGCCCACGCTGCCCTCCTCACCTTCACTGATTGCCTATCTGTGATGGTGAACTCCACTTCCTGCCGCACCTTCTCGTCCTTCCACTCCTGCAGTTCCTTATGGTACTGCTTCAGCAGTTCCTGCCGGTATACCTGCCGCCCGGGACAAGGAGGGAGAAGACCAAAGTCTGGGGGGCTTATAGCCAGGCCTTGCCCTAGACCTGTGCTGTGGGCTCCCTACTCTTTCAGGGACAGGCTCTCTGGGAGTCTGGGGAGTTCATAGCCCGCCCCACCACCCAGGACTGGGAGCTGTGCTCCATCCAGCTTCTCTTTGGGGCTGATCCTACCTTGCATACCAGGTCCATGCTGTAGAAACTGGCATGCACCGAAGCCTTCAGAGTCACCACAAATGGGATCATCTCTTCAGGAGCTACCTTCCCTCTCATGGGACTCACGGACACCTGTTGATTTGGGGAGGGAGTCTCTGGAGCTTCACGGGGATGGGATAGGACAAGATGGGATGGGATGGGATGGGATGGGATGGGATAGTATGAGATATTTCTGGAGCCCTGCTGAAGGTTCTGATTCTGTGGACACAGGAAACTCTTACCTCCCCTAAGTCTAGAGGCTTCAGCTGCCAGACAAAGATGATTGTCTCATTCTTGGAGATGTTGTTGAAAAACAGCAGGCGCCTGCACTTGCTCTGCACAGGAATATTTCCCAGGGAGATGTGAGACTGGGACAGGAAGACGTTCTGTTGGTGGAGACAATACAGCAGCAACTTTGGGAGGTGAAGAAATAATCATAGCAACCACTGCCAGTTACCAGGTGCTTTCGACAGGCCAGGTACCATGGTAGGCAATTTACATGCATTCAATCCTCCCAGTAGTTCTATGGTATAAATACTACTATTATCCCCATTTTACAGATGTGCTGCTAAGGTTCGGAGAGCATAACTATTTTCTCCAAAGGTCTCACTCAGGTTCTGCTGGGATAAACCCAGACGATATCACTCTAAAGCCTATGATTTTGACCACTAAAATGGGCATGGAAGGGCTGAGGAATCACAATTTGCTTAGAGAAAATAGAACTCAACATAATGGAAGTCCCTGAGGGATGGTTGTAAATTAAAGGGTGATCAGCTGTTGGTATCATCGCTGGGCACAGAATAGGAGCTAGGTTGTAGGAGTGTCTGGAAAGACTGAGGCCACATGAAAGGGGCACTTTCTCTCTGTCCAGACCAACCGCCTCCAGGGTCGGGACTATGTCTGATTCTTCTCTGTGTTCCCAGGGCCTCAACAGTGCTCATCCTGCAGTAAGAGTCCAAAAGGAGCAGGAGCAGAAGGGTGGACAGGCAGCTGTATGAGGTGATAGTGACTGAACGGGTGCGTGGAAAGATTCATGGAGAACTGGGTGGATGTGCGGATGCATGGATGAGTAAATGGGCATGTGGGTCAATGGGGAGATGGACGGATGGGTGGATGGATGAATGGGCCAGACCTCCCAACGATGAGGAGCATAAAGGTACTGTTATTAACCTTAGATTTCTTTCAGAAAAATCCATCTAGGTCCAGGAGAGGGACTGTTCTGTTTGAAGATAATACCTTACAGCCCTAGAATTGGAGAGCTTTTTTCTACCCTTTCTAATAACCCCATCCCAATGCCCAAAGAAGGTGGGATGGAGGGCCCTGCAGCAGGTGGAGTGGCTCGAGCAGGAACACCTGTGGGCACTCGGTGGCAGGGTAAGCCTCTTGTGAAGCTGGTGGTGCATCCTAAATCTGAAGGGCTGGTTCCAGGCTTCATCTCTGTATTCCTCCTTTCTCAGCATCATCTCGTTTCCTTCCCAGCCTCCCCTTCCCTTTGCACTGGCCACCCTGGGCCCTCAAGGCTCCTCCTAGGCCTCAGGTCTTTCTAGCTTCTTTACCCCTACCTGTCTAGAGATCATCAGTCTTGAGTGTGTGGAGCTGCTGTCCCATGAGATGTTGTGGAAAGGGGCTGTGTCCCCCATGACATGGGGGTCATAACCCGCTCCCTGGAAGTGGATGATGGCTGAGTTCCATCCCAGGATGTGTATTGGCACATCTACCTGGGAAATTAGGAGGATGGGGGAAGGGACTGGTCAGAGCAAGATCTGCTGAGGAGGCCAACTCCAACCCCCACTCATGATAGCCCAGGCTGCTGCTCACCGTGTAGGTCTTGGCCTCAATAGGTGAGAAGATCCACAAGACCCGAGCAGTTGTGCCTGGCTGGATCTCCCCTTGAGGGTTGAGGCAGAAGAAGATAGGGTGATCGAAATTTTTTTCCTGAACCTGTGACAGGACGTTGGTCTGGATCTCATATGTCACGGGCACCGAGCCACCATTATACAGCTCATAAATCTGCAGAGAGTGTGAATGGAGAAAGCTCCAAACCGGCTCATGGCTGCAATGCAGAGAGCCTGGGATTCTGTTGGCCTCCATGATGTCATGCTTACAGGACCAGAGCTCCCCTAAATACCTCTGATTTTCCTATGGCTTCATCACCCAAAAAGTACATAACTGTATTTTCAATCTGTGACATTTTAGGATAATCTGTAAGCCTTATTTTATTTGCTCTCAACTTACCTTTGTCAAGGTGTAAGGGGACACTAATGCTCATGTCCTTAGTCTTAGAATTTAGGGAAATGTCCATGCATGCACCATCTAGATCCTTCAGCATTTTCTAGGCTCTGGTTCTAATCACCTGTAAGGCTGCCACTTTTCCACATTTGCCATTAGAGGCAGTACTGCTTAAAGGTAGGTAAGGGAGCACAAGGAAGGTGTGCGGTCCCCCAAGACTAACTCCAAAGTATGGGAATCACAGAATATCCTGGAAAAAAACCAGAGACTTTCTGGTCCAATCCTTCATTTTAGAGATAAGAAAATGAAAGCCAGAGAGAATAAAGAGTTCATCTGTATTGAAGTGTGCCCCCCCCCGCCCCCGCCCATCTTGCTCAGTACTCACTCCTAAATATGCTGACTTTATTTCTGTAGCCTGGACCACCCTCTGAGCTCCAGTCCTGGAACCAATGTCTATTTGATAACCCCTCTTGGTTATCTCATAGGCACCTCAAATTTGGCCAAAACTAAACTCGTCACTTTAAAACCTGTTCTTCCCCTCGGTTTATCTCCTTTCAGCAAATGGCACTACATATTCTCATGAGCTCGAACCAGGAGTCCAATAATATCCTCAGTCTTTCCCTTTCTCCTGCGTCCCAGATCCAACCCCCACCAATGATGCTGCCTCCAAAATGTAAATTAAATCTGTTCCTTCTGTTTCCACTGCCCTCTTGCGGGTCCAGATTACCATCTGTCATCAACTCATGAATGAAGGAGGAAGCGTGGCCACAGTTGTGGAGTTTGGTTGGAGGCACAGTTGGGTCTCTTGGCTCTAAATCTGGGGGAATTTTCCACGGTCTTTGTTCAGGGCTACAAGGGAGCGGTCTGGTCTCACTGGAAAGCTCTCCTGGGAGCACACGAGTCTTTGCCATCCTTTTTGAATATCTGGGCCTCTGCAGGCTTGGGCATGCCCAGCCCTGGGTAGGGCTTCTAGGAAGCGGTGGGGTA